ACTAACCCTTTGTTCATCTCCTCCACAAGCCTCAACTCCCTCAACAACCCCCTCATCACCACGAACCACATCACTCTCTAGTATTCCCTCATCCATCTCGTCATCGAAATCCTTCCTATTATCCCTATAGTTACCAAATATTGTTACATTTTTCCAATTCTCCCACACAGCATCTCTGACTTCATCATTTTCCACTTGATGATGTATCTCATCTTTCTCAATATTACCCTTTCCTGCATCATTACCCTCATTACCCACAGAATCCGTCATCTAATACTTGCATGACACACAACCATTAATAACAAAAAAGTCAGCAAAGTAACAGCTAAACACATCTACGTATAAAGACAAAACAACATTCAATGCAACACCGACAAATGAATAACGCATAACATTCATAACCCACGTGGCCTACTAAACAACACAAATGTCAATTTTAAATTGTCAATGCATAACCCAAGAAAACCCATGGGTCCCGAACAACAAAACATGTCCCGAAAAGGTATTATTGAATTTCAACACTTCATAACCAATGCAGTGCCTAAAAATTTGTTATATTTAAATTATTTAGTACAAGTTCCTAAATTAAAATGAACATGAGAACCTTGCTCTTGATGAATAACGAATCGCACAAAAAGAAGCTTGAGCGTGTCAATCGATTCTTACCCGTCAAAGAATAACTCGTCACCAAACAAGGATGAATGTCGTTGTTGAAGAATTTCGATAATGTCCTAAAATTGCTATTTTCGTGAAGAATGAGAAGAAACCGAACCTACGAAGACGAAATTGATCCTTCCTAAACCCTAAATGATAAAGTGAGAGTGAGTGGGGATGGGAGTCGTATCTAATTTCAGAGTTAATATAATTAAAATTTACAACTAAAATCCTAATCTACAGAGGGGTAAAACGGTCACTTCAATTCTTTTTTTTTTTTTTTAACTCTGTTAGTATTCATGAAGTGTGAGCATATAATTTATGGTTAGGATCATTAGTTGAGACTATTCCTTATCAACCATCATCCTTGCAGTGATGGTCGTACTCCGAACACATTTATCCTTAAGACATGATTGACGAAAATGAAGTACGAGCAATGTAAGGTGAGGAAAGAGCTTAGGAAGGGATGTGATCAGTGGGAACTTACGCAACAATGCATTACAAATATGGAGACCAGCAACGAGCCATATACGGTCTTGATTTGACCATTATGGAGCAATTACGACGTATGGGAGTACAATCTATTCACATGCATGGTCTGAATTTAGATGGTGGTAGTGCTTCGATATTGTGATGTTTTATTTTTACCGATTTCTTAGTTATAATTTTACTTACTTTTGTATTATATTTCCTAACTTTTATATTTGTTTGATATTTGGTAATGATTGTGTTAATATATATTAGAATATATATATGGTTTATTAAACTCATTTAGATTTGAATTAATATTAGCTTTATAGATTCCTGAAAAAAAGGGACAAGAAAAACAAAATAATTGAATATGAATTTTGCAATAGGATTATAAACAAAATTATTCTCTTATAATATACTCTAAATGTTGTGACATAATCAACAACATGTTTATTCTTTTGTAATGTCATTGCAATATTGCGATGAAATTTTCAATAGATTAATTTTTTCATTGCAATGTTGTGATGTAATTTTCCTTGATTGTTTGAGAATTGTAGCCAATTATTTGCGACGGTTTTTATTTGGATGTAAAATTCATCACAAAATAAATTTGCGGTGGAAAAATATTCAGTTGCGATGGAATAATGTGATAACTTTTTTTTTCATATTTTGTTTGTCACACAAGAAAAATTATGTTTATTTTCTTATTGTATTTTTCAAATTGCACATTAATTATCTTTTCTATTTAACGAATAAGTGCAAATGAGAATAAGATGACATCTATGGCTTATGTAGCTCAAATGTCAATATTGAAATATTTTGTACGATGTAATCTTGATTACTATGTTGTTTTGTGTATGAGTGATATGCATATACCTTATCTTAGTAAATTATACTATGTCATTGATGTATATACTCATTTTCCATTTAGTTAACTTATATGTACCCCTTCCCAATATTTCTAAGTCTTATTTTATCACACATGATTCGTCTAGTGTAATTTGTGTTGTCGTCTAGTTTGCAGACTATTAAGTTCTACTGGAAGTTTAGTCAAAGTGATTGCACAATAATTATCTTTTCTATTTAACGAATAAGTGCAAATGAGAATAAGATGGTATCTATGGCTTATATAGCTCAAACGTCTATATCGAAATATTTTGTACGATGTAATCTTGATTACTATGTTGTTTTGTGTAGGAGTGATACACATATACCTTATCTTACTAAATTATACTATGTCATTGATATATATACTCATTTTCCATTTAGTTAACTTATACGTACCCCTCCCCAATATTTTTAAATCTTATTTTATCACACATGATTCGTCTAGTGGAATTTGTGTTGTCCGTCTAATTTGGAGACTATTAGGTTCAACTGGAAGTTTAGTCAAAGTGCATTCAAAGAGTAGTGTTGCGAGTTCTCGTGTCATCAAAAAATAAAAAATAAAAACTATACACATTTTACTTTATCTCATCGAATTATATTACAACTATATAATAAAGACAAATTGTATATGTCATTGGTTCCTTTATAATAATAAAAATTTCTTTTTATGACAATTCAAGATTGTTGCAACTTCAAGAATCAATGCACCGCTCATAAAATAAGAGTTCTTGTATTATCGATTTCTATTTACTGAATGCATGCCATGCTGAAGACCTACAATTTTTCATCACCATAATTTTTCGTACCGTTGTCACTTTATTTTCTCTGGAATACACTAACACTGTGAAAACAAAATTCTCTTAAATAATTTGTGTCATTTTGATTTCTTGTAGTCTCAATCTCATGTTATGTTATTTCTATCTCATTCATGTATTTAATTGAAGTGAAATGAGAAATTTCTCCTTAACGTGATTGGAATTTATTCAAGACAATGAATATCCTGCCAAGTTACAAGATTAGTAAGACGATGAAAGTGCAAGCTTATAAATGTATAAAACTTGAATTGGGTGATAGTTGATGGCCAATGCCGTGAAAACTAAACATACTATCAGCAAATATTTTAAATAAAAATAATTGTCAATTAAAAATAGGTACAACTGACCCTTAACTTCAAAAGCCGCTATAGCTAAAGTAGTGACATCCTCCTTTAGAGAGACTTATGACCCGAATTTGAATTTAACATCTTGATCATTTTTAGAATAAGATTTATAATTTTGAATATTTTATCTGAATCCTTTCAAATTGAATTTGTGTTAACCAACTAGTAAACAAATTATTACTTTTAAAATATCCCAAAATTCTCCAAAAATTCACGTGAGAAGGATAATTGTCCTAAATGGACCGTGAGGATTGTGATTGTTATTCCTTTACATGCTTGATTTTTTTCATCCTCTTTAATTTTTTTCGAAATCAAGATTGGTTTTTTTTTTTTAATATATATATATAATTCATTTGAATTAATAGCTGGACTTGGTGTTTAAAGTCTCTAAATTAATAGCTAGGGATCGACATTGAACTTAATGTTATTGGAGGATAGAAATAAATGGTAGAATTTAGTGTTTGACTAAATGTTAAAGGAAATATCTTTTAAATTCTTCGAACTTTTAATGTATGAATGAAATATAATTAAGACACATTAGGCCGTTGGGCTCAAGAAACCTTATCATTGTATATGTTTTCTCCATATTTATTTAGTGTGATGGAAGCTGTGACATTGTAGTCTTTATTTGAATTAAATGCTTTAATTGCATTGTAGGATTAGCGAGCTAAATCAGTATAAAATTATTTCGGGATCACAACAACTCAAAATAATTCTACATTGCGTAAAAAATATATTATTTTCTCTTATAAAACATCACGGTTAATACCCTATTTAAACACAAAACTAAAATCAAAATTAAAAGACACTACAAAAAAATAATATATTTGTAACGAAATTCCGTCCCTAAAGTTCACGTAGCTAACGTAATTCCGTTCCTAATTCTGTCTCTAATATCATTAGTAACGAAAAAAGTAGATTTAGAGACAAAAAAGTTTTGTTACAAAAATGATTTTTTCTTGTAGTGAGATTACCCCATAAACAAATATGAATTTTTGATGTTTTTAGATGAAAAGTTAGTGAATCTAATATTTTTTATAATTGAAGTATTTCATGTGACATATTTTAACTAAAATCAAGATATTATACAATAAGTTTTTTTGAAGAAAAAAAAAATAAAAAAAATAAAAACAGCAAACCCTTCCATATATTTCTTCTTATACATAGTCTTCGACTTTCTTCCGTACTTGTTGTGGAGCTATATTTGTGTTGGCCAATGCAGAAATGACGCGTGTACAACCGTAATTTGAAATTTGGAACGTTGGTGGTATAGTTAGTTGGACGAAGTGAGATGACGAAAACGCCCTTGGTTTAAATACTACAGTGACAATCTAACAACCTTTTTGTTTGCTTTTTTTTTTTTTTTTTTTTAATAATTAAAGAAACCTTAATAATAACGAAAAGAGTTAAGGTTGAGGGCTGTATTTTTTAATTCATAGAAAATCCATAATTATACTAATTAATCTCCCAGTTTTTAATAGGGAAGCATATGTCGTTATTGCATATAGTGTAATGTTTCTGCTGCCTCATAATATATAATTTTATTTATTTATTTATATGTATGTATGTATATATTTTTTATTTATTTATTTTATTGTTGAAAGCTGTGCTTAGCTTATTTGTCAACGCCTTCGGAAATAATTTCTGTTGGACGCTGAATAAATAATAATTTAAAATAATAATTATAATTTGACAATCCAACGCCAGCGTTGAATTTAATTTATTTAATTATATTAAATTAAAAGGATAATTTAGTCAAATGAGAATCCCGTCGATCCAATACTGAAGCCTGAAGGGTATTTATGATTCGCGTAGCTGCAAATTTGAAGACGAAAATGGAAGTAAGCTAGCTGGTTTGGAAGTCGATCATGGAGGAGCTTCGGAATTCACGTGGTTTGTTAAGGTAATAAATGTTGAAAAGGAGGTGGAGTGGTGTGATGTGATGTGAAATGAAGTGATGAGTGAGTATAAATAAAGCAGAGAAGAAGCTCGAAGTTGTGGGGAAAAGGGGAAATGGCGGAAAAGGCGAATCCAAGGCCGATGCAGTGCTGTAGAGTGAGAGAGAGAACGGTAATTGGTTCCTTTTGCTTTTTGTGTGTATTTGCTAATGGTGTTCGAACCCTAGGGCATACTGATTACATATTATAGCGGTGTATTCCTTTTTGTTAGGTGAGTTGGAAGTTATGCTGTTGAATTGGAATTCCCAATTTTTGGTGAATTTTGAAGCGGATTAATGGCGGCTGCGGAAGGTGTGCAGTCCTTCTCGGTTGCGTCCGTGGTGGAGGATGTTCTGCAACGGTATGGGAATCGACCTCGTGGTATCAATTTGGATGCTCGCATGGAGGACGAAGCAAGTAAAGTTTCTGATTTCTGGTCTTCGTTTTGTAATTCTCATCTGAATTTCGAACTCTTCTGACAAATTCATTTACTCGAACAGATTTTGCTGCTTTTTTGTCTTTTGAATTGCATCTGCTACTAAATTGAAAGGCAATTAGATTTGAGCTTCCAATAGTTGAAGCCTTAGAGGAACTAAAACTGATTCCTTCAATTATGAATTTTAGTAGGTCGTAAGCTCCACCCATTGATGTGAATTTACTAGAAACTTTCTGAAAGTATAAATATGATTTGGTATGCAAATGAAAGCCCATTCGTTCGCTTGCAGCAATGAGGCGATACGAAGCTGCTGCTTGGCTGAGAAAAGTGGTAGGAGTAGTGAATTCCAAAGATTTACCGACTGAACCTTCTGAGGACGAATTTAGGCTTGGTTTAAGAAGTGGAGTGATTCTCTGCCATGCACTGAATAATATTCAGCCTGGATCAGTGGAAAAGGTGAGCCATAGATGAAGTTTCACTGTTTTATTCTGAGAAAGCAGTAGAAAAGCTATTTCAACTTCTTGGGTGCATTTGATCATCTGTTAAACTTACTTCAAAATCAATCTCGATCCTTGTTTTCAGGTGGTTGAAAGTCCATGTAGCTCCTCACTTATCCCTGAAGGTGCAGCTTTGTCAGCGTATCTGTACTTTGAGAACGTGAGGAATTTCCTTGTAGCTGTTGAAGCCATGGGATTGCCTATTTTCGAGGCATCAGATCTTGAGCGGGTAGGCATTCCTAATAAAAGGAGGATAATGGAGTTCTGGCTGCTAAATAAGCTTGTTTACAAAGTTTTGAATTTTACACAGGGAGGAAAATCTTCAAGGATGGTTAATTGCGTCTTGTCGCTTAAATCCTTCAATGAAAAGAGGCAGGCGGGAGTAACTGAAGGTTGGAAATCATGTGGAAATGTTAAAACCACGACAACCGGAAAACAATCTGTTCGCAAAGTTTCTGAGCCTTTCGCATGTACTTTTTCAAGAAGTGTGCCTGTGATTGAGAAATCCCTAAATGGTGTAACTCCGGATAAAGATTTCGACAAAATGGTAATCAAGTTGGCTCAATGTTGGCATCTGAACAAGCTTCAGCACCTGGGATCACTAATCTGTATCCATACATTCTTTTTCTTCTTTTGCAGCCGAGTTCTTCCTTGAGCACGCTTGTACAGACAATTCTATTAGATAAGAAACCAGACGAAATCCCAAAGGTATGCCTTGGATCTTTCAGTTATTATTCTATGAGAACTTGAAGGCGCTAAATTTAACATGTTTGAATGTTTGCTCCTATGTTCACCAGATTGACATGGCTTCAATTTCTAGAATTTCAGTCAATCTGTAGGTATGTTGTTGGCCATGGCCACCTTGATTTAGCCTGACATTTACTGATTTATGTTTTGCAGATTGTAGAGTCTGTATTGAGTTCGTTCGTGAAGGAATTTGAGCATCAGATGGCAAGTCAAAACGAATCGGTCTGTTTACAGCTTATATGGAAATTTCTGCAATATATTCTCATGGCTGCCATAATAACTTTGCTCATCATCTTTTCAAGTTTAGATTTGTATATTTAATATCTCAAGGAATCTATAAATTTGTGTTATGTAACAGAAGAAAGTTGCCGCTACGAACTCTGGTACATTTCATGCTAACATATCTGAATCGGATCATTCTTTACCTGCTGTACAGGTATACTCTGAAGACATCTAATTCCAATTTTGAAGACTTTCTATTTGAGTGTGTTGGCTTTTCTGATAAACTTCCTTTCTTTCCAAAACATAGATTGAACAACCGAATGCTGCAATACCAAACAGTAATTATACATTACAGAAAAATAAGACTTACGACAAATCCGAAGAAAGTAGATTACTGAAGCAACAAATGGTTTTTGATCAGCAGCAAAGAGATATTAAGGTAATAAGTGAGTGAAAATAAACATATTCTTAATCATCCTAGTAACCTTTTGTATATTTGTTATATAAGCTTGCAGTATGTGTATTTTGGTCTAGGTACTGAAGGATATGCTTTCTGCTACAAAAGCTGGTATTCATTTTATCCAAATGAAGTTTCATGAAGACATTCACAATATTGGTACGGCTAAAATTTTCCTTCCCCTACTCGCCTTTTGGAACTCATCAAAACATGTCATGACTACAAGATTGTTTGGGTTTACGTTACAGGCCTCCAAATTCATGGACTAGCTCATGCTGCTTCGTGTTATCATAGAGTTCTTGAGGAAAATCGGAAGCTTTATAATCAAGTCCAAGACTTAAAAGGTAGTTTTTAATTCTTGTCTTGCAGTCTTATTTTGTTTCCCACAAAGGATACTTTATGTGCATACTTGAATGTACTGATGCTTTCAGGAAGCATTAGAGTTTACTGTCGTGTGAGGCCATTCTTACCCGGGAAAGGTAGTCGTATGAGTACTGTCGACCATTTTGAGGAGGGAACTATAGCAATAAACACTCCGGGGAAGAATGCAAAAGCACGGAAGTGCTCCTTCAACTTCGACAAAGTATTTGGGCCTTCGGCAACTCAAGGTTAGGATCTAATGGGAGGGACTTTTTGCCAGGTTTGTAACTCAACATTTGGTTTTAACTTTCCCCATCTTTTCCTTTCTTTCTACACAGAGGAGGTATATTCGGACATTCAACCCTTGATAAGATCAGTCCTGGATGGTTACAATGTTTGCATTTTCGCTTATGGCCAAACAGGATCCGGAAAGACTTACACCATGGTAAGAGAAGATCCCATAAGTATTTGATGAATCTTGAATAACACTCTCCTGTTTTTATGTGGTAGCTCGAAAACTTAGGTTGATTTCTTTTTACTTCAATTCAGAGTGGCCCTAAAGAACTCACAGAAAACAGTGAAGGAGTGAATTACAGGGCTCTAAGTGATCTGTTTTTCCTCGCCGAGCAAAGAAAGGACACTTTCACCTATGATGTGTCTGTTCAGATGATTGAGATCTACAATGAGCAAGTTAGGGATCTTCTTGTCACTGATGGCCTATGCAGAAAATATCCTTTCAATATTTTTACTTGAACTCAAACTACTTAGAATCATTATGCATCCAAAAGATTCGAAATTTCTGTCCCAAGAATTTTTCTGAGTTCAATCATCCCTTTACAATGAATACATTAGAAATCAAAAGCTGCTCTCAAACAGGACTTAGTGTACCCGATGCAAATTTGGTGCGCGTCTCGACAACATCTGATGTAATTGATCTAATGAACCTTGGACTAAGGAACCGTGCGGTGGGTACAACATCACTCAATGATCACAGCAGTCGCTCTCACAGGTGTGTAATCCAACATTCGATTCATATCATGCAATCTAAAATGATCTTTTGCTCTGAACTTCTTTTTGCTGTAGTTGCTTGACAGTTCATGTCCAAGGAAGGGATTTAACTTCTGGAAATATCCTCCGAGGATGCATGCACCTAGTTGATTTGGCTGGAAGTGAGAGAGTCGACAAATCAGAAGTAACTGGCGATAGACTGAAAGAAGCTCAGCATATTAACAAATCTCTATCTGCATTGGGTGATGTTATATCCTCTCTTACACAGAAGAACTCACATGTCCCTTACAGAAACAGCAAACTCACACAACTACTGCACGATTCACTTGGTAAGAATCAGACATCCTAAACTACCTATCCCATATCCTTTCCGAAATTGATTTAAATCTTTTTGCCTATTTAGGGGGCCAAGCAAAGACACTGATGTTTGTCCACATAAGCCCCGAGCCCGATTCCATTGGAGAGACAATCAGCACCCTCAAATTTGCTGAGCGTGTCGCTACTGTCGAGCTTGGCGCCGCAAGAGTGAACAAGGACTCGCCAGATGTTGGTGAGCTCAAAGAACAGGTTATTGCCCTTTTATCCTGCATTTCAAATCGATATGTTTTTTACAAGCTATTGGCTGATCATTCAAATAGCTTAATAAATGTCTCTGATATAGATTGCTAGTCTTAAGGCTGCATTAGCTCGGATAGACGGAGAACAAGCGGCCACACTGGCGAAAAACCTTCCCCAATCTCAACCTGCTAGAAATGGCTTCCCCTCACTAGATGATGAACTGAGGAAACCAATGGAAGATGTAGGAAACATAGAGGTACAATTATTAATTTATTTCCATTCAACTGCGAAAATTCTTGTCATCATCTTAACTGCCACTGGTAAGTTTACGACACTAATGAAATGGTTGATATCTGTCGTAATTGCTAAATGCAACAGCACATAAACCTCTTAACTATAAACTCCTTCCAGTGTTAGACATGAAGAGGATTCTGTCAATACTTCTTTCGCAGGTCTGCAGCAGCAATTCTTCATCGTTGCCAAAGAAATCAAACTTTGATCTAGTCGAGCTATTTTCCAGATCTCCTACGTGGCCACCTGTCACCCCGATCAATGAAAATGACAATGAAGATGATGATGATTATAGAGAAGTGGCCTCAGGAGAAGACTGGGTAGACAAGCTCATGGTTAACAAGCAAGATCCCGGTGGAGTTGAAAATCAGCTGTGCTTTCGCAATCCTAACAACAACAAAAACTCTGAAGTCTTTAACCAGAGACATCAGAGATGTTTGTCCGAATCTTGGAAGCATCACTCTGAGATTCCACACATTCTATATTCTGCAAATACTCAATTCGATGGCAGTCCTGCTGAAATGGTGGATCACCTTGATACTGGAGTGAGTTCATCCGGACCAGGTTTGCTTAATCAAGCCAGCCATTGGGTATTGGGTAATAAAATCGCGAAACGTCCTGCGAAACAGACAAGAATCCCTGATCTCAGGTAAATTCCATAACCTCAGTCTCAAGATCATGCATGTATAACATTGGGGAATGGTTAGTCATATAGCAAAGATAAACTAGGCATCACATGCTGTGTGAAATAAAATAACGTGTTTTTCTATTTATACCTGTAAATGTATTGTATATAAGAATGTTATATGCTAGAATCAACAATAGCATGTGCTTTGTAGGACTACATCACGCTAATTATTATTAGTTCATATGATGTATTTGTATTATATTAATATGTTTTTCTATTTATACTTATTGATATGTTGTATATAAATATGTTATGTGCTAGAATTAAAGCTTTGCGAGACTACACTATGCCTTATGAGTTCATGTGATTTATTTGTATTATATTAGTATAAAATAACGTATTTTTCTATTTATACTTAAAAATGTGTTGTATATAAGTATGTTATATGCTAGAATCAACAGTAACATGTGTTTTGCAGGACTACATCATACTAATTATTATTAGTTCATATGATGTATTTGTATTATATTAATATAAAATAACGTATTTTTCTATTTGTACTTGTTGATGTGTTGTAAATAAATATGTTCTGTGCTAGAATCAAAGCACGTGCTTTGCGGGATTACATTTGTATTATATTAATTTAAATAATGTGTTGTCTGTACTTAAAATTCAAGAATCGCCATAACTTTGATGTTGTTATTGGCTATGTGAAACAGGACATTGAGTTCGAAATCAGGCGCGATACATTTGGCGAAAGCCGTCAGGGTGAGCCGTGAGAATGGAAGACAAAATGTTGAAGTGAAGCATGAAGGAAAGATCAGAAAGCAGAAGTATCATCCAGGGATGATTTCTTAATGCATTTTGTATTGTTTATCTTGTGTTTTGTTTTGGGTGAAATTGAATGCTGGTTGATGTTTGTGTTTTGAATATTTGAAAGATTTTGAATGAAAATATATACATGTAATGATGAGAGTTTGTTTTGGTCACATGTACATTGTGTTATGGAAGTAACTGTTCTATGGAATCGATCAATATTTTGGAAATTAGGGATTTAGTTATCGTTTTTTAACAATTATAAAGTTAATTTGAAATTATATTGCAAATTTAACAATATTTAATAAAAAAAAAAGGGAGAGAAATAACATGCCTACAGTTAGATCTAAATCAATATTTCGTAAGAATGTACTACTTCTATCCCAAAAAAAAAAAAAAATACTGTCCAATGCTTTCGATATTTGAACGTTAATTATTATATTATACAAATATAAGGAAATTGAATGGTAAATGCAAATGACGCAAGGCAGATTGTGCCGAGACAGTATAGGTTTTCAATATTTTAAAAGTATAGCATTTGTTTGTTTTGTAAATTTTTTGCACAATTATAAATATATATATAATTATATATTGTTATTATCTCAACATCTTTTTATTTTTATCTTCTTTATAACAAGACAAATATTTTTATATATATTTAAAATTCTATTTTTTTTTTATAAGATTAATTTATATTAATTATAAATAAATAAATACATATTCTAATTTATTGTATTTCCAGTAAAAAAAAAACAAAAAATCTATTGGGACAGAGTCGCACTGTTTAAGAACCACGACTTATGCCTTTTACTTTCCTTTTTCTATTTGAAAAAAATAAAATTACCTACGCTTTATAGAAGCCCATTTTAATTTATTTTTTTATGAATATCATAAAAGCCCAATAAGTCTTTCGAAATATTATAGAAGCCCATTATAATACGCATCTTCTCCGAAACCCCAAACGCTAGCGCCGTCGCGGTGTATGGTCACCGGATAGTTCGGACGTCGATCGGAGTGGATTCAGTTATCGAGAAATGGATGTCGACGCTAATGGAGGGAACATCAGCTCCCTGCGTATTTCCACCGTGGATGAAGAGGATGAAGAGGACGAAATTCAACATGACAAGGTTAAAGATGAAGTCAGCGAGGAAGAAGATGAAGAAGAAGATGGAGCACTGGTGACGTTAGGTTTTGTGGAGAAGCCGAAAACACCGTGGTCGTTGCACCGCCAGTATTTCCCTAGCAAAGCGGGTGGCACTCCGGTAATTCTATGCGCCTTGCACGGCCTGTTAAATTTCTTTGCCATTAAACTCCAATTATTTCGGGAAGAATGTATTATTGCTTTGTGTAATATGTGATTTAGGCATGGCTGGACCCCAAAAACCTGCCCTCTGGAAAGTCCATTCATTGTGATTTTTGCGAAGAACCTCTGCAGTTTGTGCTTCAGGTCGAGTGTGAAAATTCATTTTTTTGGAATCTGATTTGTTGTTCCTTTAGGATTCCCTTCCGTATTTAAAAGTTCAAACAATGTGCACTCTGTTTTAATATTCATGTTGGATCTGTTGTAGGTTTATGTGCCATTAGGTGAGGAATCAACTTTTCACCGGACATTGTATCTTTTCATGTGTCCTTCAATGGCCTGCCTTCTTCGCGATCAGCATGAACAGTGGAAGCGGCAGCCGGAGATTCCATCAAGAAGGTATTTCCTAGTGATTTGACTGCTCTCGACGGACTTCATTAATTAGTTTCTGATGATAAAAAATGGTTCTGAAGTGTCAAGGTTTTCCGGTGTCAATTGCCGAGAGTGAATCCCTTTTATTCAAGTGTGGCGCCCCCGGAAGATGGCACTGCACAACCATTGATGGATGGAGGTAATTACAGTGTAGTTCATCTTAATACTTGCACTGCCAGTTAATACATGAAAATATTTTGTCTGAAGCAGATCTTTGGTGTCACTCTCTCCACCTAATAATGTCTTCAAACAAATTCCAATTCTCGTGGAGTTTGTTAGGTGCATTTGGTAGAGAGAATGTAATTGCATGAAATGGTAGAGAAAATGATTCGGGAATGAGAATAGATTCTTTTGTCCGATAAACAGAGATTCTTTTGTCCGATAAAATAGAAAATTCAGTTAAAAAATATAAGAAAAATAAAATAAATAAAACTTAGTAAATTCTATTTTTATCCATTTATCTTAATATAAGAGAGAGAACTGAAATTAGAGAATAGAAAATGATTGATTTCTCAATCCTAAATTTTCTGTTTCAAGCAAACAAGAAAAATAAAAATATTTTCGGCTCCATTTTTCTGTACCAAACACCCCTTGTAGTGATATCATTCAAAAGAATTGTATTATAATCAAAGACAGGAACATGATAAGAGTCTGCAATATCTCCTTAATGCCTTTTGTCGTCCACACTAATGGGAGGTGGACACTTTTAAAATTATGTATTCTCTCGAAAATATGGAATGACATTATGCAAGTAAGTTGAATAATCATGTGAAGGAAGTGAATCCGAAATCCCATTGTTGACAGTGAGAGCATTAAGGGGATAAACCCGTCGTTCTGCTCTCATATTTCGTCACTTTTTCTCTATGTGCTATTGCAGCACCACTCTGTGATTGGTGTGGCACATGGAAAGGGGACAAGCTTTGCGGTAGCTGTAAGAGAGCACGCTATTGTTCTGGAAAGCACCAGGTACTTCTAAGTCCCTACATTGTGTAAAATACAGTTTTGGGTTTTCATGTAATCAGTAGACCATGTCCCTTCGCAGGCTGCTCATTGGCGGTCCAGTAGCTCGAGCCATAAAATCTCCTGTCAGCAAGTAAAGACATCTGACGAAGAAGCTGCATCTGGTAACTGTTACATGTATATGAAATGTGGTTTCGTTTTGGCAGGACTCGCTAATATGCTTATTTGGATCTGAGATTTCTCTTCATTATATACGTACTACTGTGTCGATTATGTGGATTGTATAAATTCCTTTTGATTATAGCTTTCTTGTCCATAAACATTAAAGACGAGCGTATTTCTGATTCAGCTAGGTTTGATAATAGGCAAACAGCTGCCAGCAACACTCTTTTTCCAGAGTATGTGATCATTGATGAGGATGAGTGCGAAGATGACGAGGAAAAATCTAATGACACCGGATCTTCTAGCTCATTGATATCAAGAAGCCACACAGATAGTTCTTACGGAAAATGGATGTCATATTTTGAGGTGAGTTTCTTACCTCCTTGCTGGATAATCCTATATTATTAGATTAGCAAAAACGAAATTCCATCCTGTCTCTGATTGCGGAATAGGGGCACAACGACAATAAGAGTTGGGCTTCCTTCCAGGAGAGAATATCCCGGGCTCCTGATCAAATCTTGAGGCTGAACTGCAGGTGAATCTCTGTGGAATCTTTCGATGCGCATTTACTTTGCTTCTCGTTTAAATTCATTGTGATAAAATGTTAATGCAATTAATTGATAAGCAGGGACTCTAGCTCCGGTCCAGCAAAGCCACTGTGGCCGGTGTCCAGTGGTCGACCATCAAGACTCGACATACCTAAATGTAGCTATTGTGACAGCACCCGTGTTTTCGAACTTCAGGTGCAGTAAGGCTTCCTTTACAATTTAACCTACTGCCTAAATATTTTTCTGAATTGTTCATTAGCAGTAATCAAGCGATTCACTTTCGACAAACTTTTCTTTCAGGTTTTGCCGCAGCTGCTTTATTTCTTCCATGTGGAAGATACCGAAGATTCTCTCGACTGGGCGACCATCGTCATATATACATGCGAGGCGTCGTGCCACGGTGGCGCGGCATACATAGAGGAATTTGCTTGGGTTCAGCTTGCTTCTCAGTCTATACCAAACCAGTGATCAAGACAAAGGTGTTAATGTTCAGATTTCAGACATGTTCCTTAAAATTTTGATATAAATTGCTGCAACAGCGTATTACATATATATATATATATATATATTTATGTTTTGTTTGAAGATGGAAGAATGGGTGTGGTTTGTTTTTGTCGAATTTAGTTTGCATCTAATATACTCGAAAAGCAACGATTGATTGTTGGTTCTTACGTCAATTTAATACATATGGAGTATTATTTTTTATTTCCTTAGAACAACAACAATGGTCCTCATTGAAAAACACCTCGTCTGATCAAGACATACAGTAGCTCGTATTGTAGAAGCTGAATTTATGTTTTAAATACGACTGGACATAGATGTGTAAAAACTTTTTGTTTTTACCGAATTAAAATAATAAAAAGAACTAAAAAATAGTGTATTTCTATAAGTATGTTTTTATATTAAGATTAAAAATTCATAATATAAAAAATATGATGTATAAAAATTTATAAAATTTAAAAATATAAACATTATAAGTTATTTATTATATTAATATTATATATTTTTTATTAATATACTAGTTTCAATTCAAATATCCTTAATCATTAAAATACTGTTAGGGTGTGTTTGTTTGGGGTTGGATTTTGGATTAGAAATTTGAATAGTAAAAATTTTAATGGATATAAATATGGATTGATGTGATGTTTTGGATATAAAATTAATTTTTAATATAATATAAAAAATAAAAAATAGGTGTTTAATTTGATTTTTTTGAAAAAACATTTATGGAATGATGGGAATATAATAACTTTACATATAAATAATTAATCTCTCTATAAAATATAGTGTAAAATTGTGTTTTTATTTTATTTAACCCACAAGCCACAGCGGCACAGCCAGCAGCCGCCGCCTCCGTCGTTCTTGTTCTTCTTCTCCTCATTTTTTTTTCTTTCGCTTGCTGCTCCGCCAATTTGATCGGTAAGGACTGTATTATATATACGTTTTTCAAAATAAATAAATAAAAATACTGAACGCCGTCTCCCCATCCCAACTTTCTTGTACTTCTCCTGCCGTTGCAATTCGATTCTCTGTAGGGTCGATATGAAGTGGGAGAAAATGAAGAGCGGTGAAGGAGACCTCATTGTACTGCCTCCCAAGAAAAAGAAGAAGGCGAAGGAAGGGGGAAATCAGGTAGAGCACATTGATTTGGTTGCGTTTTGGTGAATGCTTAGCGATGAAATTAGTTTACTAATTGTTTGTTTGGGCATGTTATAAGGTTGGTACAAGGAACAAGCCTAAATTGAGCAAATCACAGAAAAGGAAGCTGAAGATGATTGAGGTATGGGCGTTGTATGAGTAAATGCGTCCGCTGTTGGTATAAAATATAAATTGATTGCGGCTTCTTGCTCGAAGTCTTATGAATTGATTTGAGTGCAGGAGGAAAAGGAAAAAGAGAAGCTTCTAACAAAGAGCGTAGAGGTGTTAGAGTAAGAAACTTTATGTTTTTTAATGGTTTTGGGATTAAATATGTTAGAATTTCATTCTAAGGTCATCAACTAATCTAAGGAAATTGGATGCTGATGGAGCAATTTACTTGTGTATGTTCCAGGAAGTACAAGATTGAAGATGATGTTTATTCACTAATGTGGTCCTCAAGGAACTTGGGCCAGGTTTGTCACCCAGTCTTGTTTAATTAAATGATGAAGAAATTGTACAGATTATGAGGTTGTATGAGCTTGCTCTAGGTTGAAACTCATCGTGAGAAACGGAGAAGAGAAGTCGAGTTTTCTAAAGCTGGTTTGGCCACAGACCATATTGCCAAAAAGAAGAAGAATAATAAGAACAATGGAAGTCTTGAAGTTGAGCTAGATGAGGACAGCTTCCAGTCACCAATGATAAATTCTGATACATTAGGTGATAAGCAGATTTCTGATAGTCGACTTGGTACTTTTGACGGGGGCAATGTTTTTCCAGCCAAGGATGATGCTGATGCTGATGATACATTTGGAGCATCAGTTTCAGAAGTGCAACAAGGGACTAGTCATTCATGTTTGTCTCAGGTGATAGATACTAACATCTGCTTTCTTTCTTTTGATAGAGATTTATTTATGTTTGTGTTGGTTTTTGCCTGATTATGCTGATTGCCCACAACATTCATTCCACTGATGATGAGGAACATGTATGTATGCTTTTAACAGGAGACAGCGGATGGAGATCCACGACAAAATCATTACCCTGAAAATAATCTGCCTAGTTGTTCTTCCACAAGGGATCTTATTGCTCCAACAGTGGTGCATGTGTCGAGGCCAAAGGATGTGGAAAAGCAAAGGGTGGATCTGCCGATAGTTATGATGGAACAAGAGATAATGGAAGCTATAAATGAGAATATCAGTGTCATTATATGTGGTGAAACCGGTTGTGGTAAGACAACCCAAGTTCCTCAGGTTCGTAATTTATCACTATGATGTGCAATAGTTTGAATATATCGAATTATTCATCATTTCATCTTAATTTCTAGACCACTTGAAACCTTGAGGTGGTATTGCTGGTGCAATAATTTGATTATATGCAACTATTTATTATTCAGTTTCTTTATGAGGCTGGTTTTGGCTCAAACCACTTGAAACCTCGAGGTGGCATTATTGGTGTCACCCAACCTCGACGGGTGGCTGTACTGGCAACTGCTAAGCGTGTGGCCTTTGAACTTGGACTTCAGCTGGGTAGGGAAGTCGGCTTTCAGGTTAGGCACGACAGAAGAGTGGGAGAGAGCTGCTCAATCAAGTTTATGACTGATGGAATCTTGCTTCGAGAAGTGCAGGTTTTCCCTTTGAACTCACCCTCTTTTAGTAATGGTAGGAGGATACACGGAGTCGAACTATTCTCACGTGCCCTACAACATTTTTACGTAGAAAATCTGTTCTTTTTTTTTTTACCACTGAACAAGTAGAAAGAATGATAAATATCTGTTGCTTTTCTTTTGAATCTGTTGAATGAATATTCTTCCTTTTTGTAGAGTGGTAATATTTCTTTTCTGCTTGCTTCTAACAAACTATAATTTCGTTTTAATTGTAGAGTGATTTTCTTTTAAGACGCTACTCTGTTATAATTTTGGATGAAGCACATGAGAGGAGTGTGAATACAGATATACTCATTGGGATGCTTTCTCGAGTTATCCAAGAGCGGCAGGTAACAATAGCGTAGCTATCTACACAACTGTATGTGTTTTATTTGTTGATTTATGCAAACATGGACGTCATATCATGCTTAAAAGAATAACATTTTCTGAAAATATGATCTCTAAAGAATATCTCACTGTTTTCTCGTGACTAAAATTTTTGAGAAATTTTGAATTTCAATTTCATAAAAGGGTTATCTTCTTCCACAATCTTGCAGAGGGAATTTCTGGTGCAGCAGAAAAGGATACTGGCTGGGGAATCGATTGAAGATGATGACATAATATACCCTCTAAAACTTATTCTGATGAGCGCTACACTGCGAGTAGAGGATTTTGTGTCTAATAGAAGAATTTTTCGTGATCCTCCACCTGTAATAGAAGTTCCAACTCGGCAATATCCAGTTACCATACATTTCTCAAAGAAAACAGAGATCATTGACTATGTCGGGCAAGCATTCAAGAAGGTCATATCAATCCACAAAAGATTGCCACCTGGGGGCATTCTTGTTTTTGTTACAGGGCAGAGAGAAGTTGAATATCTCTGCCGGAAGCTGCGTGGAGCTTCCCGAGAGATAACTGCACGTCCATTAAAAGGAAACAGTGAGGCATGTTCTTCCTGTGAAGAAAAGACTCCAAAAGAAATTAATACAAAAGAGATTACTGAGGCATTTGAGCCTGAAGGGAACTCTGGTCATGATATTACTGAAAGATTCAGTTCTTACATGGAGGAAGATGGTAAAGATTTCTCAGAAGATGAATCTGATATGGGGTATGATTCGACGGATGAAAGTGATTTGGAGTACTTCAGCGATGATGAGAAGCAATCAAAACCTGTGGAATCTGATGATAAGATTTCAGATATTTTGGGATCAGAGGGAAATCTTGCTTCATTGAGGGCTGCTTTCGAAGCATTATCCGAAAAAAATGATTCAAGTCCGTGTATCGAGGTCCAAGCCAGTAATCAAACAACTGAAGGTCCAGTTCAGACCTGTTTTGTTGACAAACAAGAAGACAAGCGTTCTTCAGCTGGTCCAATGCATGTCCTGCCTCTATATGCCATGCTTCCTGCATCAGCGCAGCTTCGTGTGTTTGAGAAAGTTAAGGATGGAGAACGTTTGGTGGTTGTTGCAACTAATGTAGCTGAAACTTCGTTGACAATTCCAGGAATTAAGTATGTTGTCGACACCGGAAGAGAAAAGGTCAAGAATTACAACTCTTCCAATGGCATGGAAACGTATGAGATACAGTGGATAAGTAAGGCTTCAGCTGCTCAGCGAGCAGGGAGAGCCGGAAGAACTGGGCCGGGACATTGTTATCGCCTGTATTCTTCTGCAGCCTTCACCAACTTATTCCCTGATTTCTCGAGTGCCGAAATATCCAAAGTGCCTGTGGATGGTGTTGTCCTACTTATGAAATCAATGCATATTGGCAAGGTTAGTGCGCTTCCAATTCTTTCAATTTATTGCGTTATGCCGATGAGGTTGCCTTAACATGTTCTTGGCTCATTCATTATTTTTATTTAAGTTGTCAACAAATCCATGCTACATATCTTTCCATAATTTTAATGTCCCACTGTTTTGTTTATTTAGTCTATACAAAGATTTTTTGAGTTCCCATTTATGATTAACCTTGTATCCTGTGATTTTCAGGTTGCCAATTTTCCCTTCCCTACACCTCCAGAGACCAATTCTTTGATTGAAGCAGAACGTTGTCTGAAGGTTCTTGAAGCACTTGATGAAAAAGGGAGGTTGACGCATCTAGGAAAAGCTATGGCTCATTATCCAATGAGCCCTCGGCACTCCAGAATGCTTCTTACAGTTATTCTAATTATGGGAAATGTGAAAGAATATGCCCGAGCAAACCTAGTTCTGGCCTATGCAGTCGCGGCAGCTGCAGCTTTGAGCTTGTCAAATCCCTTTCTAATGGATTCAGAAGGAAGTCACAATGGTGGAGATGATTTAAACGAAGGCGAGGGAGCTAGATCTGAAAACTCAGAGAACAAAGAAAAATCAAGAAAAAAGAAACTGAAACAAGCTGCCAAATTTTCTCGCGAAAAGTTTTCCAACCCCACCAGTGATGCTCTAACAATTGCCTTCGCTCTTCAGTGCTTTGAACTTTGTGGAAACCAGATCGGATTTTGCAGCGAAAATTCTTTACACTATAAGACTATGGAAGAAATGTCTAAGCTGAGAAAGCAGCTTCTTCAGCTAGTTTTCAACTCAAGTGGCGGGAATCTACTACAGCAGGACTTCACATGGAGTCACGGGTCCATTGAGGATGTAGAAAGCGCCTGGAGGGTTCCATCTAGTAAACAACTTCTTCGGCTCAATGAGGAAGAGATTCTGGGGCAGGCTATCTGCGCCGGCTGGGCTGATCGGGTCGCTAAGCGCATCAAAGGAGGAGCTTCAAGTGCCTCGGAGGATGGCGTAAGAAAGTTGAGCTCAGTGCGCTACCAGGCTTCCATGGTTGATGAAACTGTATACATCCATCGCCGGTCATCAGTTGCTAAGTCGCCGCCAGAATTCTTGGTCTACAAGGAATTATTGCATACTAAAAGACCATATATTCATGGCGCGACAGTGGTGAAATCGGATTGGCTTATTCGATATGCTCGGGCACTGTGTAGTTTCTCAGCTCCTCTTTCGGATCCAAAACCTTATTACGATGCTATGGCTGATCAAGTCTTCTCATGGGTGGCGCCGACTTTTGGTAACCATCTCTGGAAGCTTCCTCTGCACCGTCTGCCGATGAAAGACGACTCTAACAGGGCAGCAGTGTTTGCTTATTCATTGCTGGATGGACAAGTTCTACCATGCCTGAAAGCTGCCCGGAAACATATGGCGGTTTCGCCTGCAAGCGTGTTGAAGCCGGAGGCATTGGGTCTTAAACGAGTGCACAATCTATTGAGTAAATTAAATACCGCGAAGGGGAGAATAGATAGCTGTGAGAAGCTGAGAATGTTGTGGAAAGAAAATCCGGCAGAGCTGTTTCCGGAAATTCAAGACTGGTTTCAGCAAGGCTTTCATGTTCATTTTAAAGAACTATGGATGAAGATGCTTCATGAGGCTTCGTTGGATGCCAAAGAAAGGTTCCCTAAACGCAAAGCAGCAACGTATAAGCACTAGTGTAGTCCCATGGCATGATTCTTTATGTTCATGGTATTGCTTCCTTTTCCCTTTTTTGTGAATTTTCTATTGGTGTTCGAACCCTTAGACGGCACACTGATTACAGCGTCGTATTACTTTTTGTTAGGTGAGTTGGAAGTTATGCTGTTGAATTGGAATCCCAATCTCGGGTGAATTTCAGTGCTGATTAATGGCAGCTGCGGAAGGTCTGCAGGTGGAGGATGTTCTGCTGACACCATGGAAATCGACCGTGTGGTATCAATTTGGATGCTTGCATGGAGAACAAAGCAAGTAAAGTTTCTGATTTCTGATCATTGTTCTGTAATTCTCATCCGAATTTTGATAAAGTTCATTTACTCGAACAGATTTTGCTGCTTTTTTCGTCTTTTGAATTATAGTTGATCGTAAGCTCCACCAATTTGATGTAAAATTTACTAGAAACTTTCTGAAAGTATAAATATGATTTGGTATGCAAATGAAAGAGGAAGAATTTATGGTTGGATTAAGAAGTAGAGTGATATTCTCTGCCATGCACTGGATCAGTGGAAAAAAGGTGAGCTATAGATGAAGGAAGTTCCATTGTTTTATTCTGTTATCTGTTAAACTTAATTTAAGATCGATCTTGATCCATGTCTTTCAGGTGGTTGAAAGTCCATGGTAGCTCCTCACTTATCCCTCAAGCTCTTCTTCACCTACTGTACAGTACAGGTATACTCTGAAAACATCCAAAACTTTCTTTCTATTGGAGTGTGTTTGTTTTGCTGATAATCTTCCTTTCTTTCCAAAACATTAGATTGAACTACCAAATCCTATGATACCAAACAGATATTTTGTCACTTTATTCTTCTTACAAGGAAAGATATCTGATGAAGAAACTGCTTCTGGTAACTGTTACATGTATATGTTCAGATGTTTTCTTTTGGAGGATTTTCCATGATTTACATTATTCATCCAATTTTTTTCATATAATTATTATATTTCAAAATTTTATATTATTCAAATCCCAATTCAATATCCAACGGATCTAAAATTTCTTTCATTATATATTCTTGAAGATAGTAATGGGTTTTTACTAAAGCTGTCAATGGATCGGGTCTGAGTTTTTGAACGGGCGAACCCAATATGTTTATTTGAACGGTTAGAAGGCTTGACCCAACCCGCTTAGGGGTGTATTCATTTGAGATTTCATTAGAATTTTTTGGATTTTAAAAAATTTATGGATTCATGTGGATTTAGAAAGTATAGTGAGTTAATGTAGATTTTGATGGATTTTATTAATCAGATTTAGATGGATTCTTATAAATTTGATTGGATTTAGTTATGGATTTGTAGAATTGTAAAAATATTTTTTTATTAATTTATATAATTATATAAACTTATGTAAATACAAAATTTACAAATATAATATATCTATTATATATTATTATATTTTATAAAATATAGGTAATATTAATAACTAATATATACTCCCTTTCGTCCCAGTACAATAGTCTTATAGTCTCATTTTCATAAATAATCATATCACTGTAAAACTATCTTTATTTTTTCATTATTATTATACAATTGTCACTATTTTTTACACTACATTCGTAAGGACAAAAAAGTTTTTTACTGTATTTTTTACCCACTAGCAATATAATATCAATATTTTTTTAAATTTTATGTCAAATATAACCTAGACTATAATTTTGGGACGGAGGAGTAATTATTAATGATATAGAAATATTGTAACATATATAAAAGTATAAAACTACTATTTTGTATATTATATTTTTAATTTTATAATTTTTATTATATTATCATTCAATATATCAATTTATTTTACTATTTTTATTAGTTATTATTATTATTCTTATGTATATAAATTTTGTAAAAAATAAATATATAGATTAAAAAATTAATATATCACACACATTCATTATTTTAATATTATATGCACAATTTCTTATACCTTAAAAAAATATCCCTTCAAAAATATTTCACAAAACTATCACACAAAAGAAAACTGCATTTACAATTTTGCATAAGAAATAAAAGTAAAAAGTAAAAAGTAAATAAATATAACTAACGGTTCAACGAAGAAAATATATATTTAGTTAACTTTACCGATAATACAGTGTATTCGATAATTTAAAAAAACAGTAATACATATTTATTATGATACTAGTAATTTTCAAATATTATATTTATAATATAAAAATACATATTTTCAAAAAAAAAATTGATAATAATTTATTAATATATTTTACTTTTAAATTATTAATTTTTATTAAATATTTAAAATACTATTAATAAATATTATAACATTATTTATCACTTATATATTATCAACAACAACCATAATAATAATAATTTTAAAAAACCATAAAAATTTCTCTTTATCATTAGAAATTTTCTTATGTACAATTTTTTTATAATTGTCCATTAAAATTCAATGAAATTCATAGACTTTAAAAATTCGTGGACGGTTGAGTACCTCAAAATTTTTAAAGATTTTTAAAGTTTGTATTGAATACCTCATCGAGATTTTAAAGGACTAAATTGTACAAAATCCACCTGTGGTTTTATAAAACTGCACCAAATCCCCCATACTTCTAAAACTGCGTCAAACTCGTTCGTGGTTTCATAAACTTTGCGTCTTACTTCCTCAGCGGTCCTTATTTAACGATATTTGACCTAAATGCGCTCAAATTGCAAATAAATTTTAAAATCTCAATTTATAAACCCCTAAAATTACAAATATATTTATTTTTTATATATTTAGCCTAAAAAAGTAGTAAAAAATAAACTCTTAAAACCTAAGAAAAATAATTATTTTTGAGTATGTTTACTATTTCTTTAGGGTAAATATAAAAATAAATAAATATATTTGTAATTTTAGGGGTTTATAAATTGAGATTCTAAAATTTATTCGCAGTTTAAGCGTATTTAGGTTAAATACCGTTAAATAAAGACCACTGAGGGGGTTAGACGCAAAGTTTATGAAACCACGAGGGAGTTTGACGCAGTTTTAGAAGTACGGAGGATTTGGTGCAATTTTATGAAATCACGGGTAGATTTTCCGCAATTTAGCCACTTTTAAAAGTTTTAATTGAATACCTCCGTATTTTAAAAGTTTGAATTGAATGAACCGAGATTTTAAAAATCCAATAAAATGAGTTGTAATTGAATACACACTCCTAAATATGACCATTTCAAAAATGATTCATCCGCCCCTGCTAACACAAATTTGATATGTATGCTTATTAAAAAAACATCAAAATTTAAAATCAAATTTTCATAAACCAAATTATAATAAAATAATTAATATTTTTAAAAATAAGTCATTAAGTCAAATAAAAATTAGCGGTATACATACACAATAAATAATAAAAACTATTAAAAATAATATATTTAAATTGTGTTCAATGCAAATTAATAATTTAAAAAATATATATTGAATTAAATTCTTTTATATATATAATAAATATATGAATTAAATACTAATATATTATAAACGAATTTTCGTATTGGGTTCAAGTTGAAAACTTCAATCCTAATTTGACTTGTTTATTTGGATTTGTAGTTTGGTTAGCGATTGAGGTTTTGAGTTGGAAATTGTGTTGGAACTAATTTATTTAGTTAATATTTAATTTATGATGGAATATATATATATAATTAAAAAATTAAAATATGTCTTTAATTATTTTAACGACGGAATATCAATAAAATATAAATAATATGAATATTATTTTGTAAATAATAAAAATTTTATAATACAAATAAATAATATAAATACTTATTATTATTAAAATAAATTAATTTTACAAATAAGTGGAGAATTTGTATATAAAAGGGAGAGAAATAAAAAATAAAAAGAAAAAAAAATTGAATAGATTTTGAGTGGCCATATTGTAATGTAATTTATTTTTAAAAAAAATTGAAAGCATAGTATCAATCGGCCACTAGATGCTAACCAAACACATGCTCAATTATTCCGTATCGGGCTTGTATTGAATTAGCGTCTCATGTCAGTTGTCACCTCTAGTTTTTACTACAATATTATTAAGCACTTCTGTGTTGATTATGTGGACTGTATAAATTATTTTTGATTATACTCTCCCCATCTCATTGAAAGGTTGTCATTTTTCATTTTCGTCCGTCCCAAAACAATATTACAATTTTCTAATTTAGTAATTGTACTATCTACCTAACATAATAAATACCCTTCCAATTTACACTATATTACACAAATGTTATTACTTTTATGTTACACAATACTAATAGGGTCATGTTGTCATTTTTACAATAACCCATTGTAATACTAATATTTAAAAATCTACGTACAAAAAATAAACGGCAACCTTGGGAGTAGCTTTCTTGTCCATAAACATCAAAGACGACCGTATTTTCTGATTAATTTCCAATTCACTGCCGGCAACACCCATTGTCGAGAGTATGTGATCATTGACGAAAATGAGGTCGAAGATGATTGGAAAAATCCAATGATAATCGATGTAGTATTTTGAGGTTAGTTTCTTACCTCCAGCTGGATAATAATCCTATATATGTATATATATATTATAGGTTAGCAAAAATGAAATTCCATGCCATGGATTCTTCATCTTTATGTTAGCAACGACATACAATATAAGCATCAGTGTAGTCCCCTGCCATGGATTCTTCATTTTATGTTATAACCACATGTAAGACTGACTCAACTTTAAAACTTTCTTCTATATGCACAATTTCATCAGGTATAGAATCCCTGCTTCCACATCACTACCACCGGAGACACCACCACGTGCCGCCGCCCGTCGGACCACGTGATCGTCCCCGTCTCCGTCACGGCGGTGCCGGGATACGGCCGCACTTTCAGCTTCCCTGCTTTTATTTTTACTGTATAGCTTTGCTTCTCACCCTTGGATTTGAAATCCAGTTTTGCAGGCTCTACCGTCACAGTAGCTCCTACTGGATTCGTCACAGTCGCTTCGTAGCTTGACTGTGCTGTCTCGCTTACGTGCGTCACCGTTCTGGTAACGTTAACTTCCCCCTCCATCGTCTCCGACGCCTCGAATTCGACGGCGATCGCCGGATAGTTCAACTGCCATGGCTGCCGGTGCTTCCTGCTGCAACTGAACGGGCGTCTCGCTATTCGCCGGATATCTCGACCGGTGAAATTCGATGCGCAGAGGAAATTGAGATAGTCGTCGGCGGTTATGTCGTAGACCAGTCCTGGATCGACGGCGGTTTCTGGATTCACGTGGCCGGCGCCCAAGTCCCAAATCGTGGAGGCGTTGTAGGATTTCTCGTCGAGTAGCGGATTCCGTTGGGCGTCGCGGCGGTAGGCGGTGGTCATCAGGGCGGAGCGGATCATCGCCGGCGACCAGTCGGGGTGGGCGCCTTTTAGCAGGGCGGCGATGCCGGACACGTGGGGGCAGGACATTGACGTGCCTGACGCCACGTTGAATTCCGTGCGGCGCGTGTCGGTTGGGAGCTCCGTCGGCGACACGTCATCCGGCCAAGCGGCTAAGATGTTGACACCTGGCGCGATGACGTCAGGCTTGAGTATGTACGGCGACTCCAGGCTGGGACCTCTCGCCGAGAACGACGCCACCACCGGCGCCGGCTTCACCCCCAACTCCGTGCCGCGAAACGACATCGTAGCCGTCGGATTTGGATCGGAATTTATGTAGTCGCGGATCGTACGGCCGGCGGATTCCGTGACGGCGAGGCCGGGGATTAAATGAGCGTCGGCGACCAGGCCTTCGCCGGTCGGCGGTACGTTCGCAACCACCACTCCGACGCCGCCGGCGATTTTCACAACCTCACCTTTCGCGACACGCGCGTTGCCGCCGCGTTCGCAAACAACGATTTTCCCGCGCACCAAATTCTCGTCCAACGAGGCGGCGGTGCATAAGGCGGCGGAGTAACTTCCGGCGGAGGCGGAGGCGGAGGCGTTGCCGCCGTAGATCAACGGTATGAACGTCTTCTCCGGCGGAGCCTCCCCGCTGTACAGCGACGCGCCTCTGATAACCCGGCCGTCTCCGAGCGTGAGGTCCGCCGGAAACCGCCGGTCGATCGTGCTAGCGCCGACGGTCGTCATCCACGGCGCGGCGTTGGTGACCGTCATTTTAGTAGGACCTTCGTTTCCGGCAGAAGCAGCTATCAGAATCCCCTTCTCCATCGCGCCAAATGCTCCGATCGCCATCGGGTCTGCAACGTAAGGCTCGGCGCCGCCGCCGACGGAAATTGAGATTATATTCACGCCGTCCTCCGCCGCCGCATCGAAGGCGGCGAGAATATCGGAATCCATACAGCCATGCTTCCAGCAAACTTTATACACAGCTATTCTCGCCTTCGGCGCAACTCCGACGGCGACGCCGCCGGCGTAGCCGAAGAGGGAAGCGTTCGCCACCGCCCTGCCGGCGGCCGTAGACGCCGTGTGCGTTCCATGGCCTTCCGAATCCCTAGCCGATTTAAACTCCTCCGACGAGTTAATCCTCCCCCGCCGCGCTTCATAACCGCCGGCGAAGTATCTGGCTCCGATGATCTTCCGATTACAGTGCGCTTTGGTGAAGTTCTGTCCTTCCACACACTCCCCTTTCCAATTGGCCGGAATCGGGCCAAGTCCTTGGTCATTGAAGCTGCGCCGCTCCGGCCAGATTCCGGTGTCGAATATTCCGATGACGACATTGGAACCGGAGTCAGACTCCGACAGCAATCCGGTGGGGTTGTTAGCAGATAACCCAAGGAAGTAGGGGGAGCGAGTGATGTGCAGTTGCCGGAGACGATCAGGCAAGACGGCGAGAACCTCCGGCCGTTGCTGAAGAAGCTTGGCTTGCTGGGAGGATAATTTAGCAGAGAAGCCATGGAAGACCGTTCTGTAAACGTGAAGAAAATCGTCTGATTCTTGAGAATATTCCGACGAAGTAGCAGTAGTAGTAGCAGAGGCCGTGGATGAAAGAGTGGCTCTGTACCATTTCTCCACGTCGGAGAAAGCAGAAGGTTTGAGGTCGTTTTGTACTCTGACAATGAATGTCTGAGCATCATCGATTTCAGAAGTAGCAAATGACAGGGAGATGGAGAGGAACAGGAAAACCCCTAAAAGGGCCATTTCCATTTGATACACAGAAGAAGAAGAAGAAGAAGATGATGTATCTGTGTTTCTTACAATGCTCTATATATACAGTGAATATATATACACATACATAGATATATAGAGAGAGAGAGGGGATGGGTGACGCAAGAAACAAAGAAAAATTGAGGAGAGACAAAAAAAAAACGATGATATGAATATGAGAATGAGAAAAGGAAGAAATGAAGAGGCGAAGGATGTGAAGCTGTTAGTTCGGTCGGAGTGCAGCTGGAAATGCTGCTTTATTATTCGGTAAGCTTTATCACATCTCTACTCTAATTTGGGGGAACTCTCTCTTTTCACTTTCACTCTTACTCGACACCCACCCACCCATTGATTTACATTACAACCTAAATGTTGGTAATAAAATTGTGGAAAGTAGTGTATAAATGGATGCTGGCTGGATTCAACACTAACGTGTGTTTGTTTGGGATATTGGATTTTAAATATATTATTATTTTATTTTTTAAAAAAATATCAAATCAAACACCTAGTTTTTATTTTTTATATTATATTAAAAGTCAATTTTACATTCAAAACATCACATCAATACCTATTTATATCACATCATACAATTATTTAAATTCAAAATTTTTACTATTCAAATCCCAACTCAAAATCCAAACCCCCAAACAAACACACCCTAATATATTGTTCGTTCTAGGCCGAGTCAATTTGTTTTTAAATTTCTCTCAAAAAATTTCGTAAGAGGGAGTTCATCATATGTAAACTTATAGGATGTTGCTCTCTTCGTCTTAATTTAAAATACAGTTTTTACAATTTTTGTCTGTTTATTTTAAAGTATCTATTTTTTTTAATTTTAGAAAAATAACTATAAATTAATATCAAAATACTCTTTTAAATTCTACTTAAATTACAAACATACTATTGAACATACAATTATTTTATACATGAAATTAAAGGACAAAAATTTCAAAATTTATTACACATTTCCATTGACCTATAAAATACTCCTCCTTCCCAAAACTATAGTTCTATTTGTATTGAATACGAGATTTAAAGAATATTGATATTATATTAATAGTTGAAAAAAAAATATGAATAAAAAATATTTTTGCCCTTATGAGTGTATTAGTGTAAAAAGTAGTAGCATTTTGTGTAATAATAATGAAAAAGTATTGATAGTTTTTTAGTGATATGAGTATTTATAAAAACGAGACATCATTTTGGAACAGACAAAAATAGTAAATAAGACTATTGCATTGAAATAAAGAAGTACTACTCCCCATGTCCCAATACAATAGTCATGTTTACCATTTTTGTCCGTCCCAAAATAATAGTCGCATTTCCATAAATAATCATATCACTATAAAACTACCCTTACTTTTTCATTATTATTACACAATTGCCACTATTTTTTTAAACTAATACACTCACAAAGGCAAAAAAATCTTTACCCATACTTTTTACTCACTACCAATATAATATCAATATTTCTTAAATCTCGTGTCCAACATAACCAAGACTATAATTTCGGAACGAAAGGGAGTATTATTTTTAAATTTACTACAAAACTCCAAAAAAACCCTTTAATTTCAGACGGAAAAAGCATATGTTTTTTTTTTATATATTTTAATATGAGACTTGAGTTTACACTCAGCATATAAATATGCTAGTGAAAAGCCCATGCAGGGCATTTTTATATTTTATTTTTTTATAAAGATCTGGTTGGTGTGAATTGAAAGAAAGAATCGTGAGTGATGTGGGAGAAGGCTGGCTTTGGGTGTCACTCACACAGTTTGTTGCTATTTATGCAAATATGGGTATGGAGTTATTAGGCGCATTCGGTGCTAATAACGTAATGCCTTGGCTCACATTCTTGACTCCTTTCACTCATTGACCATATAAAAACTTGAATTTCCTTTTATATGACTTTTGTTAATCAATCCCAAAAATGTTCTATAATTACTACTTGAATTAAATTTAGATTTTCATCTTTTGTTGTCAATTAATTGATTAATTGGTATCTGTTGTTATTGGTCGTTTGTTTGGATTTTGATTGATGTCGGCAGACAGTCTAGACAACATATGGACTTCAATTGAGGCCTGGGTCTTCATCATTTTAATCCAATTGTTTAGGACGCCCATTTAGCCTGTGTCTCAGAAACGGATTGATGATGGTGAGTGTAGTCCAGGTGCTGAGATGTCCTATAAGTGAAACAAAAAGAATCTATTCGGTTTTAACATATGGTTAAGTGGGAATTCGTGAGGAGAGTTGGTTAGATTATAAAAATGTGTGGAAATGTGATATAAGTAAGATAATCAGAAAGATAAAAACAGTGTGAAAAAAATCAAACATTGAGAGTGAAGGGTTTGAGGGATAGGTTGAGTATGGAAAATCGTCAAGAAATGGATAGATAGATTTTTTGATGGTGTAGCTCGATTGTATCCACATATCCTGTGCTTCAATGGTTTCAGTAGTGAGTTTCGCCTAGGTTAGAACCCTCAGATGTAGCCTGGTGCAGCCGAACTGAGTTATCATTTCGTTGTGTTTTTGTTGTTCTTAATCACCAGTATGTTCATTCGCAGTTCGATCATCCAACGAACAACTAGTTTGTGCTGAGGGATTTTTTTATATTGATTTTTAAGTTTGTTACTTTTGTGCGTGAGTTAATTGTTTTTCGAGGCCAACAATATGTGAAAGTTTTTTAGTTGTAGTTAAGGCCCTCTACTAGTGGACCCATTTCAACTTATAGTGGCCCTGGTAGGCCAGTCTGAGATGGGCCACAATAAATAAGTGAAAATTGGTTCGGCCCATATTCTGTTAGAGTAACAGATTTGGTCCAATTGGACTGCACTTCTCCATTATCATCTTATTTTTCTATCAAATTATATTGTTAAATTTAAAAATTAAATTATATGTTTTTTTTTTTTTTTTTTTTTTTTTTTTTTTTTTTTATTGAGATTGTATTGTGCAATCGGTCAAAGTCATAGAGTATCAGTAGAAATGTAGAATTGTTTGTAGAAAAGCCCACAGGCTTAAAGTAGAAGGTAGAAAGGCGGGTCTGTAGGCGGCGCTAACGGTATTAAGATTTAATATGGCGGTAAAAATCTGACGGCGCCGCTGGTTTCCGTTAATGCCAACTGCCAATACCATGCACATTGACTGACGGACGGACGGACGGACTTTTTGCCCGCCGCCATACTCACAGAAGTGGAATCTTGACAAATTCAATTATTCCTAAACAACGCATTAAAAAGACGTGTGCTACTAAATCTTACTTTTCGACGCTATATGCGTGGATTACTGTAAAGACGATCATTTATGATAAATATAATTAGTAAATAATTAAATATATTTTTATAAAAATAATTATTTTATAATATAAATAATTATAAATTAAAATTAAAATAACTAATTAATTTAATTAAAAATAAAATTAAGAGGAATAATTATTTTCTAAAAACAAAAAAAAATAACATTAAATATAAGACGAATAAAAATAATAATGTGGACGTGGTAGTAGGCCCGAGAGAATAATAAATTTTAATTTTTTTAGTGTTAAAAAAATTTAAAATTTAAAATTTAAAATTTAAAATCAATTGATATTAAACAGAGGGTAATTAAAATAAGTTTTAACATTGATCCTACCTGGAATATATTCAACATTTAGTAAAAAAAATATTTTATATAGAAAATAAAATCACTGGTGTGAATATTGGATTTTTTTTTCTCCTTACATCAAACGCAAGAATTCTTGAGAGAATGACCTTATAAATGAAAAGAATGTATGCATAACATTATTTGGACAAAATAAGAATATTAAAATGAAATTAAATTACACAACAAACAAAGGGAAAAAGAAAGAAAACAAATAATTGGAGGTAGGAAAAACAATACAATGAAATAATTATTTAATTAATTATAATTAAGTTCTTCGATCGATAGGTACGGCCGTGGTTAGGTTAGGTTAGCCCTCATCGAAGTTCCAGAGCTGCATCATCGTCATCGTCTCCGGCGGCGGATTGGTCTCCTGATCCTGATCCGGCGAGTGGCCGTCGAGGTAAGGTATCTCATAGAACTTCATGTAGTTTTCATACGCCATCAGCTCCTCCGACAGCTTCTGCACTTGATCCTCTTTCTCTTTCTCCGCCGCCGCCTTGCCGCAGTTATCGCCATTGATTCCGTTGGATTTACGGTCGCCGGCAGCTCTGACTCCGGCTCCGGCAGCGTGATTACGATTATTATTATTATTATTTCTGGGATTGGGGGATGGGAAATTGAGCTTGGCCTTTGAGCCTCTGATGAGGAGAGCTTCGGCGTCGTAAGCGCGGGCAGCTTCCTCGGCGGTGTTGTAGGTCCCGAGCCAGACGCGGAGGCCCTTTCTGGGGTCCCGGATCTCCGCCGCCCATTTGCCCCAGGGCCGCCGCCGTATTCCTCTGTACTGGTTTTTCCGAACCCCTTTCTTCTTCTTCGTCGTCGTCTTATTACTAACACTTACGCCACACTTAACTTCTTCTTCTTCTTCTTCTTGTCCTGATGATCAGAACAAATAACCAACAAACTAATTATTCACGTTCATCTGATCTCATATATATATTTAGTTACCTGCAGGAGTGGCGGTTGGCCAGAAGTCTTCGCCACCGCCACCGCCACCGACACGGCGGGGAATGAGGCCGGACAGAATTGCACCACCGCACATTATTACCTTCTGCACTGCTCTTCTTGATTAAATTAAGATAGTTAATAGATAATCGCGAAATATTGGATGGAACCAGCTGCAATTGATTACTGATTATTATATATAATAGTAATTGTGAATTAAGCTGATCATGGTTATATATATATATATATATATATATGTGAGGATGAGGATGCTGATGAGGATGAAAAAAAATAATAAAATAATAATAAAATTCACGTGTTTGTCAGATGTGGTTGACCTGGTGCGGACACGCATTTTCCGGCGAGCTACGCGTGTGTTTTCGGTCCCGGAAGACTAAAACAGCAAAAAATTTTCATTTATGAAACTAATTTGCGACAAACTTCATTTACGGGATTAAAATGATAAAAGAGTCCAGTTACAGACTAAAAAAACAGTTTACCCATATATATATATATATATGTATGATTGATTAATCTCACCTACACACTACTGCTGGTGTTTTTTACAACTTGTAATCTTCTATTTATAAATAAATGATACTAATACAAATTTCAAATACTTTGGGTATGTTTAAATAAGGGTTTTTTTAACGTTTTTGGAAATTTGGAAGATTGAAAAAAAAGTAAAATGTTAATATTTGATTTTATGTTTTATGAGAGAAAAAATATATTTAATGTAATATTTTTTGAAAAAATAATAGTGTCAAATGAATAAAAGTATGTTATTGTAAACAGAGCTGCTTTGGAATGAATTTATAAATAAGTTTATCTAGATATCATATATTGGCAAACACTTACGGGGTGTTTTGTTTGGAGGTTTGGATTTTGAGTTGAGATTTGAATAGTAAAAATTTTGAATTGTAATAGTAATATGATGTGATATAAATAGATGTTGATGTGATGTTTTGAATGTAAAATTAATTTATAGTATAATATAAAAAATAAAAAATAAGTGTTTGATTTGATATTTTTGAGTGGAAAAAATTTAATGAATAGGCAAAATCTTACGAACGAACACACCCTAAGTAGTGTGAGAATTGATTCGTGACCATGAGTTTATGATTTCAAATTTCGACTCCTCCAAATTTTGTCTGCACTTAGAGCAACGACTTCAAGATAATGAGTTAAAAAAATAGTTCATCGGTCATTCAAATCTATGACTACTTTTTTTTGGGTTGTTATCGAAAAATATTCTCTTTTTTTTTTTTAGTAAAAAATTATTTTATTTTTGTATTATTTTTAATATAAAAAAAATTAATAATTATTATTCATTTTTATTAAAATTTGTGCTCAGTTAAATAAACACATATTTACATGACTGAGAGAGTAAAAAATTAAAACTAAAAGGATATAATATAATAAGTCCTATAAGTTCTTGCTACTAACCCTTATTAGGGGGTTTGTCTGCCATTCACATTTTATTAATTTGATACCATCTACCCTTTTGTTTTTTAGCACCACAACATCGAATAAAATAAAAAGTATGAAAATAATATGATAATAAAATTGTAATTAAAGAGGATAATTTATTACAACTGTAAAATATAATATATATATATATATTTCTTTATCTCGGAATAATAGTATTATTATTTTTAATTAATTTTCTAATATTAATATTATATTAATTTATAATAAAAATGATAAAAATATTATTATTAATATTGTATAATATAAAAATAATAAATTTTATAATATATTATAAAAATATTTATTATATTAAATAGTTAATAGAATTATTAAATAAAAAAAATGACATTTTTGTTTTTAGTTTCCCTCACCCTCCGTAATTGTTAGAGCTGTTAACGATCCGAACCAAATTAAATTTTAAGTGATCGTTAACGTTTGCGAACAAAGCTCGTGTTTGTTCGTTAAGCTTTCGTGCTCGTTCGTAGTGTTCGAGCTTGGCTCGTTAAGAATTTTTGTTGTTTGAGCTCGTGTTCGTGTTCGGCTCATTTAGATTCGATTAAGTATTCGTTCGAACTCATTTGTCTTATTTTTTAAAATTTATATATAAATTATAAAAAAAATTTAAAATTATTTTATTTATATATTTTGAATTAATATTTTATTTATTTATAAATTATAATTTTATATGTATATACAATATTTATAATAAATATATTATTTAAACGAATCGTTCGCGAACAAAATTTAGGCTCGTTCGTTTACCAAATGAGTTTATTTATATTATTCGACTCGACTCGTTAACGTTCGCAAACGAACTTTAATCGAACCAAATCGAATCGAACGAGTCAAATTCACAAACAACTCGATTCGTTTAACAGCTCTATAAACCGTAAACATCAAATGTCGGATACCCAAGCTTATATATAAGTTACTATTATTAACGACGGGCCTGTCTTTGACCTGAAAGCTGTCTTCCATGTTAAGGAGCCAAGGCCCGGCCCGGCCCGGCCCGAACAGCTCAATGAGAAGTAACTTCCAATGCTCGTGACTTTCTGGCATGAATTTTCGCCGACGTTCACCATATGATATATGACTTCAGTTTATCTGATTATTATTATTACATGCCAGTATTTATTGACTTAGTTCACCCAGCTTATAAAATAATTTTTAAAATATGGTATAGAAAACTGTATCAAAAATATAAAATATAGTATTAATATTTTTAATTGAATATTGGATTTTTTTTTTACTTTTTATAATAATTTTTTGATTTTTTATAATGAATATACAAAGTTCTTTTACTATTTTATAAAAAAATTTGTACTTATGTCGTTCAAATCTATGTTTATTTTCCTTTTTGGTGGTCATTGAAAAATATTTTCGTTATTTTTAAGTTAAAAATTATTAAATTTTTGTACAATTTTTTACTATAAAAAGAAAATATAACAATTAGTACTCACTTTTATTAAAATCTATGTCTGGTCAAATGAACACATATTTTTGCATGACCGAGAAGTATTTTTTGTTATTATTTTGGAAATCGAAATTGAAAAATTGCGACATTGATAAATTGAATTTTGGGCCTAGCTTGCACATATGAAGCCCACATAAATGGGCCCATTTTTAAATTGGGTTGGATCTTCTTTAGCTCATTGCTATTGAATGCATTATTAATTGGTGATTAATTTATTTATTTTTAAAAATACTCGAGTTCTCTCACTCTCTCTCTCTATATATATATCTTTAAAGACTAGTGTGTTATTTATTTACTGTGACAAATCCAACTCTGTTTATTAAATATTCCCTCCGTTACACTACAATTGACATTATTTTTATTTTTTATGTTCCGTAATAATTGATATATTTCTATTTTTGGTAAAAATTTATTAAATTTAAACATATTTAACAAATATAAATCAACTTAATTAACTACATAACATATAGACGTAGGACCACTCAAAACCCCTTTATTTCTATTTCTCTCTTTAAAAAAATAAATATTTTTATCTATATTTAAAACTACATATCTTTATAAAATTGATTTATGTTAATTATAAATAAACAAAAATATTTTTTTATTTAGAAAATTTTATTCTCTACAAAATGATATTCATATTACATATATTTTTTGATTGCTCTATAATTTTTAAATATTTAAATATATATTTTGATTTTTTTAATCATATATATTAAATTTACTTTCAAACTATAAATATTATTAATTATATAAAAAATAATATCATAATTAAGTATTATTAACTAATTAAACATCCTTACCTTAAATACGGTATCCCTAATCAAATGATTCAATTTCGGTGGGACGGAGGGAGTATATTATTAACACAACCAAGTTAAAAATATTATATTTGAATCTTTTTATTTAAAAATTACGTGATCCAAACTTTATTTTTATTTTGAAAAAAAAAAAAAACCCTAAAAAGGAAAAAACGTACAAAATCACACAAACAAGGACACCATAAATTTCATTTGCTTATTACGTGTTTCAAAGATTTTAAATCTCATTAAATGTATATATATAGTGATCACTGCACCACAAAATTGCCGGCCTTAATTAATTAATTAGTTTTTTTATTATAGTCATTAAAAAAGATAGTAAATATTTATTATTTTGAATAAATTAAATATAGATTAATTAAAATAGCATAGTCAGTCGACCTTAAAAGTTAAATTATTTTCCCATGCAACGACTTCCCCTAATAACAATCACTCACCAGTCGTTTGTCACTTTTTATATACTGTGTATAAATATGGACATCAAGTTTAGGGTTTGTCTCATTTGCTATTGTTTCTGTGCTTAATTATACCATTAATTTTGAATTAAATAATTATTGAATACAATACATTATATGAGATTATTATATTCTTATAATAAATTAAATTATAATATAGTTATAAAAAAAATAATAAAATAATCACAGTCAATTTCAATAGTTTATGACATTTTCTCTTTTTTAAATTTGTGAAGTTGAAATGGCATTTAAAATAAATCTTTAATTTTGAATTTTTGAAAATTTTTTAAAATAGTGAAAAAATTACTCTTTTTTAGCTATCCACACGTCGTGTTTATATGGCTGATTATGTACGTCACACATTTCAAATTATTTTCATTTTTTTAAATAAAAAAATATATATTATACATTTTAATTTATAAAGGCAAAATAGCAATAATCTCCGTGTAGTTTGCGAATATGGCTAAAAATTCCATGTAATTCTAAAATTTTAATTTATCTAGTTGAGGCTTTGAAAACAATGCAAAAAATACGCTTTCTGTTAAGTATTAACGGAGGTGGTAAGACATACGTTTAATTTTATTAATTTGACCAAAAGCCAAAAGTCAAAATTCATCTCTTCCTTTTTAACTCATTTGCTCGGAGAAAAGGCCATCATCGGTCTGCTCGACGCCAGATTCGAAGAACTGCTACTATCCAATCGTACCATACTGGAACTTAATCGTTGACTACCGAAGAAAGTTCCGTTGTCATCGATTGAATCGATCGTTGACAAGAATTCGTTGGACGAAAGTCAATTAGAGTCGTCCATGAAAACTTTATCATGTTTGTTTGGTTTTCAATTTCCATTTTCGCCGTAATAATATCTATAATTTCAAGTTTATTTTTAGTTAAATATTGACTTGGATTTTTTTGGAGGATTCTGGCGGCAGTGGCGAGAAGAGAAATAAATAAGAAAAGCGACTTAAGGAAATTACAGTTTCATTCTCCTCAC